GGCCCCCCACTTGTCACCCAGCGGCAGAGCCGCGCGCACCGCCGCCAGCCGTCGGGGGCGCGGACCGAGCCGGGGGCCCCACACCTGTCACCGGCGTCGGCCAGCGGCTCCGGAGGCGGAGAGCGCGAGACTAGGCCGGCGCTGCTGGGACTGCTGCACTCGGCCTGGAGCTCCAAGGCACAATGGCCCCGAAGCTGCTGCTGCTGCTCTGCCTCTTCTCTGGCTTGCGCGCAAGGTAAGTGGCGCGGAGCCCCGAGGCGGCTGGGAGGGGACCCGGGGGCGCTGTTCGCTCCTGGCTCGCCAGAGGCACCGGCGGCGGGGCCCTCACTCACCTGCCCCACGCCACGGGCGCAGCCTGCTCCGTCCCTGGTTGGGAGGCTGCAGTCTTCTAGGCAGACAGGATTTGGAGGACTCGGAGATTAATGGGGTCTTCCCATAAACCTTCCAGCACCTGGTGGTTTTAAGGGGTTTTGAAAACCAAGATCATAGGGCGGCAGCGATGTCTACCTCCTTTTCTATCCCAGAGTCCCCACCCCAGTGCTGCAGAATGGCACACACACATTGACCTGTGTTCTCTACCATGCCCACCACTCTGACATGTCCCAGGACCCTGGAGTATGGTTTCCTAGTGTCCAGTTTAGACCAGACTGGCGCAGAACAATTGACTGGAGGAAGGTAGAAGAAGCTTGTGGGAGGTGGGCAGCTGAGAGCCATGCTTTTCTGAAAGGACCCCCCTCCCCAGGTCACACATACACACACAAACACACATAAACACCTTCTAGATCATACACACGCACACATGCACCCACCTGCCCCCGTAAAGCTTGCATGTTGGAGTTGTTAATAAGGCCCCTGCTGGATAATGTAAGCTATTATCTCAACCCTTCCTCCTGTTAAGGGGCGCTTAGAATCACTCCAGGCAGAGATGAAGAGGGCTTTTGAGGAGAGAAGGAGATTGGGAATGGAAGCGTTAAGCCTGTCGCTGTAAATGCAACTAGAAATTCTGGGTTTGGTTTCTCTAATTCTGTCTCCCAGGCAGGATCTCTGGCGCAGAGCTTGCAGACTGATGTGTGATTTTGAAATTAGAGCAGCCCTGCCTCCCGCAGGAATCTTAGGGCACCCCCACTCCAAACACTCTTGTTTTCGCACTTTTGTTTTTCCGGTTTCTAGGAGTGAGAGAGCCAGAGAGTATTCCTGGGCGCTGTAAGCTTTGCAGGTGCCAGGAAGTATCGCCTGGAGGACTTGCCTTTCGTATTTGTGTGAAGTGCAAAGGGACTAGGAAGACTAATTAACTCATCTCACAAAACCTGAAAGAGCCCAGTTCCCACTCCCCACCTTTGACCTAGGTGCCAGCTCTGAGGAAGAAAGCCCTGGTGCTTACCTCCAAATCTCTTGTCTTTGCCAAGTGAGAGCATGAAAAGCAGTCAGTGAGCCAGGAATGGCAGACGCTACCAGTGACTCACAGACAACTTTCTCAATGAGGCAGCCAACGTCTTGGGTCTTTCAACTAAAGTTTTTTCCTAAGGAGAAAGCTGTGAATGGAAATACTAGTGTGCTTTCTGAGGGTGATTCTACCTGGATGGATCTCTGTGTAGAGGCTGAGAAGCAGGCAGGCAGGGTAACATAGAGATCCCAAGTCATGTGTAGATTGGAAGTCATATCTACATGACCGTTCTGTTGTCACCAACTGATGGCATGACCAAAATGCAGCTCAGGGTTAAGTAATCAACTGTTGCTTAACATTCTAGAAGGAAGACTGTATATTGTCCTCATAACTTTATGTGCATTGTAGGAAGATAATCTTAGCATATGACTTACATCAGTCAGTGTTCTCAGGATTCCCAAAAACAAATAAAATCTCTTGAGGATTTTCATCCTTCCATCCTGCCAAGGCAAATGTAATAATTTTAATATGATCTGTATCTAGGTTGGATCCTTGGCCTTCATAATAGAGATTGCATGGCAGCTGAAAAAATCCAAACATTAAACTAATTTTAGTACTCTAGGCCTGTCCTTTCAAAGTGCCTGTGTTCTTTGGTTGTATTTTACAGATGTGTAAAATAATCTGATTTCCAGCTTTATCTTTCAAAGCCGTTATAAATTCTGAGAGGGTCCTCATTTACACTCTGAGATGCCTTTCTGGCGTTGAGATTCTCTAGAAAGATTCTGACTGTTGTGCTCTGTGGTGATGACTTGGCAACTCCTTGGGGAGGAATCTCCCCATTCAGACACTGATGGATGAACTTATTATACATTAAAAAACTACGTCATACCTGGAACCTGGGTGATACCTTGAAGATGTTACTAGAGTGTTGCTCTGCTTTCTGAGGTTTAAGGGCTCTTCTTAATGTTTAAAAATATGTCAGACTTTTTCTCTCTTCTTCTGGATGAAAAGAAGGTGTAAGACATCAAAATCACATCTCAGGTTGAGCAGTTGTTGGCAATGACAGTACATCACCGATTTATTTTTAAGAAAAAGCTAATTGCAGTGACGGTGCTTTAGCACCTTACAATCTAAGTAATGAAAATGCTCAAAGATTATAGATAAACCACTTAAAATTCAGAAAAAGGACATTCTTCTTTTATCCACATTCCAGTGGGTCCCCAGAAATGAGATTTGATTTTCATCAAAGCAAGGATGTCCTGTTGGGTTGTTGGTTTGGCACTAGCAATATGAGGCTTCATTTTCTAAAGTCCTGTAGAAACCTGGCATGGGGACCAGGGTCTGCAGGAGCCCAGTGCTGGCCGCCGTGGGGCCACGAGCATATCTGCCCACACACTCTGCCCACTTTCCACTTCAGAAAAGCTATGGAGATGTTGCCACCATACTCCTGAAGAGGGAGAAGGAAATGTTCCTGCTTTTCGTTTCTCCTCCCTCCACTCCCCCCTGTCCTGGCCTTGCTCCAAGGAAGAAGCTTATGCAATTTCAGGAAAACCCTCTCATCACCACTAGAGGGAGAATTAGGCTCATTATAATACCTGTTATTGAAATAGCTCAAAATATGTTCAGAAACTGTAGCTGTGTGTATACAGAACAGTCAGGAGTTCATCAGTGTACTTGAGCTATGTATATGTGACCATTGAGGACATTGAAAATAACAGCATGGTCTGCTTCGGTAGTGGTGAACTGCCTTTGGGAATGGAAGGGGTAAAAGGGGGTGGGGGAGAAGGGGGAAAGAGAAGAAGAGAGAGAGAAAAGCAGAGGGAAAGCAGAAGGCACTGTGGCAGAGTGTGTGATATGTCCTGAGAAGTGGATGGCTTTAACAAGGAGAAATTTATTCTCTCACAGTCTAGTAGGCTAGAAGTCCGAATTCAGGGTGCCATCTCCAGGGGAAGGCTTTCTCTCTCTGCCTTCTCTGGGGGAAGTTCCTTGTCATCAGTCTTCCCTTGGTCTAGGAGCTTCTCTGAGCAGAAACTCTGGGTCCAAAGGATGCGCTGTGCTCCTGGTGCTGTTTTTTTGGTGATTTGAGGTTTCCATGTCTCTCTGCTTGCTTCTCTCTTTTGTATCTCAAAAGAGATTGGCTTAAGACGCACTCTAATCTTGTAGATTGAGTTCCGCTTCATTAATTCCATCTCATTAACATTATAGAGATAGGATTTACAACACATAGGAAAATCACATCAGATGACAAAATGTTGGACAGTCACACAATACTTGGAATCATGGCCCAGCCAAGTTGATAGACACGTATATTTGGGGGACACAGTTCCATCCATGACAGTGCTTCAACTTACTCCTTTTGGTTTTTGTAAAATGATAAGAATCCTGATAATTAAGAAAATACTTTTAGTGGGTCATTTTAAGTTCTATAATATTATCTGTATAAACGTTCAGCTTTACAAATAATGAAATGAAACATATCACTTAAGGAAATATGTGTTCCATATTTTGTAAGTTCTTATTGATGGTGAATATTCAGTATGAATAAATATCCTGCACAGCAATAAATAGTTTCCATGGCTACAATTTTTAGCCTTCTAGCCAACAGGTATTCAAGAAATAGAATTACAGTTAAAGATCAGCCTAGTAGGGAAGTTATTGCTAGACATACATCAAAATCTCATGTACATGTATATATTCATGTACATGTATATATTCATGTACAGCTTTAGACTGACCACTGGCCTAGTCTATGGTATGGAAAGTTAACGCCATAAAAAGACTCATGTATTATGTATAATGATCCTGAAGACTGAAATTTAGATTAAGTAGAGGTAATGAATTTAGTAAAGTTTATTCTTTTCATTTATTTCATGTTCTTTATAGATAATTTAGACAAGCCCAACAATTATATGGAAGAATGTTTTGCCCAGGACACCACCTGAGATGGTGTTAGCATTTTGGCTCCAGTCCTGGAAGCCAGACAGAAACTAGCTCAGACCCAATCAGGACAAATATACCTCGATGCAATTTTCTATTCTATTTTCCATTCTTTGTGAAGAAAAGTCATTATTAAGGCATGCACACTGACAAACAATAAAAAAGTTTGTTTTTCTGCTAGTTTTCTTGTTGTGGTGAATGTTGCGCACCTGGAAATGACTGCTTTAAAGCAGAGGAAAACCTCTCTTTAAGCACCAGTGGCTGTGTTGCTGAGGTGGCCCCCTAAGCATGCCGTTCAAGGCCTCGGGTCTACCTGCATTGCTTGGTAGAGGCTGCTGTCATGCTCACCCTGCAAGAAGAAAGTTCAGGGATGCTCAAGCATTCATCTGGGCCCATTTATTAACGAATACATATTAGAAAGATTTTAATTTTTAATATTCGTCTTAGCCTCTGTGCAAGAGATGAATCTGTCTGTGCTGAAGGAGTCATGTGAAACGGCCAGAGGATGTTCACCAACCAATATCTCTGTGACTTGCCGCAGAAACCACTAATCTCTTCTCCACTGGTAAAGCCAATCACCTCATCATGTCAGCATATTTGCATAGACCCACAGATTTCGGTCTTCATGAGAAGCACAGAAGTCAGACTCAGCTATTTCCAATGAGTGTATTCTGTCTTCAGTTACAAATGAGGTCTTGGCAATGAGGGGCGGAAACTGCACAATAGAATCCCCTTATGACAGCCCCTGGAAGGTTTGCGCCTTGACCTTCAGAAGTTATCAAGGTAGATCCAAGGCTGGCTGGCTGCCTGTTGGCAGACCTTCTGGCATTGGATTCCTGTGAGAATGCCTGTTGTTTAACTTGGCCATGAAATCATCATTTACTTGTGACATTTGGTGAGAAACAAGACTAGAGCTCCGTTGTGCCATCTTCTTAGTGGTAGCATTCTTCCTATTGAGTGTCGTTAGTTTCATTTTTTTCATGTTAGAAGCAATACATACAGTTGTGCTGAGGGTCCTTGGAGCTTTCTACTCAAGATTGGCTTTTTTTGGCCACTCAACAAAATGTAAGTAGTGCTTGGGTGGGACAAGTTTAAGGCACTTCTGGAACCACGGCTGCAACTTCTAAGCCACAGTTTTGTGCCATAATTACAGGTCCAGAAAGGTGGAAGAGGATGAATATGAAGATTCATCATCAAATCAAAAGTGGGTCTTGGCTCCAAAATCCCAGGACACAGATGTGACACTTATTCTCAACAAGTTGCTAAGAGAATATGATAAAAAGTTGAGGCCAGATATTGGAAGTGAGTATTTATGTTTGTTATTCCAACAAAACGTATGCTATGATGGTATAATTTTTAAGTTTTTATTTTGAAATAATAGGAGGTTCTCAAGAAGTTGTAAAGATATTACAGAGAGGTCTCCTGTATTCTTCACAAAATTTACCCTAATGGTTACATTATACTTTGTAATTATAGTACAATATAAAAACGATCCATTGGTACAATGTGTGTGTACAGTTCTGTGCCATTTTATCACGTGTAGATTTGTGTAAATACCACTGCAATAAAAATACAGAAATGTTCTATCACCACAAAGATCTCCCATCTGCTGTCCCTTCATAGTCACACTCCCCTCTCTCTCCAAACCCTAACCCCAAGAAACTGCTAATCTTTTTTCCACTTCTATATTTTTGTCATTTTGAGAATGTTATATAAATAGAATCATTTAGTATATGATTTTTTGAGGTTTGCTTTTTTTTATACTCAAAATTATTTTGAGATCCATGCAAGGTGTTACATGTACAGTAGTTTATTCCTTTTAGTTGCATAGTATTGCTTGATATATAGATGGGCCACAGTTCAACCGTTCACCCACTGAGGTGCCTTTTAGTTGTTTCCAGTATTTGGCAATTACAAATAAAATGGCTATAAATATATGTGTACAGGTTTTTGTATGGACATAAGATTTCATTTCTCTGAGATAAATGCCCAAAAATATGATTTCTGTGTCATGTAATTGTATGCTTAGTTTTTTAAGAAACTTAAACTTTTTGCAAAGTAACGGTGTCTTTTTATATTCCCACTAGCAATGTTATGAGAAATCCAGTTTCTCTGCATCCTTACCAGCAATTGGTATTGTCACTAATTTTTTTTATATGAAAAAAAATTATCATGGTGAAATGTATGTAACAAAACATATCAGTCATTTTTACATGTGCCATTCAATGACATTACATTCACTATGTTAGGGAAAAATCACCACTACCCATTTCCAGATATTTTCTTCACCCTTAAGGAAAACTCTGTACCCCTTAAGCAGTATCTCTCCTTTTCCTCTCTCACCTGCTTCTAGTAACCATCAACGAACTTAGGTCTCTATGCATTTGCCTATTCTGGATATGTCATATAAGTGAGATCATACAATATTTGTCCTTTTGTGTCTGATAGTTTGACTATTTTTTTTTAATTCTGACTGTTCTAGTAGATATTTAATGATATTGCATTGGGGTCTTTATTTGCATATCCCTAAGGTTAGTAATGTTGAACTATTTTCATGGGCTTATTTGCATTCCATATATCCTCTTCATGGAAATAGTTATTCATGTTATTTGCCCTTTTAAAAATTGGTCTTTTTCTTTTTACTGCTGAGTATTTAGAGTTGTTTATATTTTTTAGATCTCGTCCCTTGTCAGATATTTGGTATGCTAATATTTTATCTCAGTTTGACATTTGTTTTTTAATCCTCTTAACAAGGGCCTTCACTGAACAAAAGTTTTTAATTTTGATGAAGTTTATTTTCATGCTTTTGGAATAATGTCAAAGAACTCTTCATCAATCCCATTTCCCAAAGATTTTCTCCCATGTTTTCTTCTAAAAGTTTTATAATTTTATGTTTTACATTTTAATTCATTATCTGTTTTGAGTTAATTTTATGTAAAGTGGGAAGTTTGGATCAAGTTTTTTTTTTTTTTTTTTTGCCTCTGGATATCCAGTTACCCCAGAGCCATTTGTTAAAAAGGCTAGCCTTTCTAAACTGAATTGCTTCGGCACATTTGTCAAAAATCAGTTGGTTGTACTTGTGTGGGGCTATTTCTGGGTTCTCTATTCTGTTCCATTGATCTGTGTGTCTATCATTTCATCAGTCGTGATACCTGTAGCTATATAATAAATCTAGAATTTGGTAGAGTGATATGCCCCTTTATTACTCTTTCTCAAAATTACTTTAACTATTATAGCTCATTTGCCATTCATATATATTTTAGAATTACCTTGTCTGCATCTAAAAAAGAAAACTTGCTTGAGTTTTGATAGGACTTCTGTTAAACCCATATTTCAATTTGGGGAGAATTGAGATCTGCACTAAGTTGATTCTTCCAAATTCATTAGCAAATTTCCCTTTAAATGAAGATTTAGATCTTTTATTTTTTCATCAGTGTTTTATAGTTTTTAGCATACAAATTATTAATATATTTCGTTAGATTTACATCTAAGTAATTTTTGAATGGTTGTAAATGGTGTTTTTTTTTAGTTTTTTTGTTTGTTTACTGCTAGTATATAGAAATATAGTTGATTTTTATATGTTCGTGTTGTATCCTTCAACTTCTTGAATTTCCTTTTTAGTTTTAGAAATATTTTTTGGTAGATTCCTTAAGATATTTTGTCGACTCCATGTCGTCTGCAAATAAGGAGAGTTTTATTTCTCTCCAATGTATTATTGTTAGGCACTGTTGAGTTGGTTCCAACTCATAGTGATCCCATGTACAACAGAACGAAACGTTGCCCGATCCTGCACCATCCTCACAGTCGTTATGCCTGAGCCCATTGTTGCAGCCACTGTGTCAGTCCATCTCCTTGAGGGTCTTCCTTTTTTTTGCTGACCCTCTACTTTACCACGCATGATGTCCTTTTCCAGGGACAGATCTCTCCTGACAACATGTCCAAAATATGTGAGATGTAGTCTCACTTCTGAGGAGCATTCTGGTTGTACTTCTTCCAAGACAGATTTGTTCATTCTTTTGGAAGTCTATGGTAGATTCAATATTCTTCTCCAACACCACAATTCAAAGGCATCAATTCTTCTTTGGTCTTCCTTATTCATTGTCCAGCTTTTGCATGCATATGAGGCGATTGAAAACACCATGGCATGGGTCAGGTGCACCTTAGTTTTCAAAGCGACACCTCAGCTTTTTAACACTTTAAAGAGGTCTTTTGCAACATATTTGCCCAGTGCAGTGGGTCTTTTGATTTCTTGACTAGTGCTTCCATGGCTGTTGATTGTAGAACCAAGTAAAATGAAATCCTTGACAACTTCAATCTTTTCTCTGTTTATTTATGATGCTGCTTATTGGTCCAGTTGTGAGGATTTTTGTTTTCTTTATGTTAAGGTGTAATCCATACTGAAGGCTGTGGTCTTTGATCTTCATCAGTAAGTACTTCAAGTCCTCTTCACGTTCAGCAAGCAAGGCTGTGTCATCTGCATAATGCAGTTTGTTAATGAGTCTTCCTCCAATCCTGATGCTCCATTCTTCTTCATATAGTACAGCTACTCAGATTATTTGCTCAGCATACAGATTGAATAGGTATGGTGAAAGGATGCAACCCTGACGCACACCTTTCCTGACTTTAAACCATGCAGTATCCCCTTGTTCTGTTCGAACGACTGCTTCTCGATCTATGTACAGATTCCTCATGAGCGTAATTAAGTGTTCTGGAACTCTCATTCTTTGCAATATTGTCCATAACTTGTATGATCCACGCTATGCCTTTGCATAGTCAATAAAACACAGGTAAACACCTTTCTGGTATTCTCTACTTTCAGCCAGGATCCATCTGACATCAGCAATGATTTCCCTCATTCTCCGTCCTCCTCTGAATCTGGCTTGAATTTCTGGCAGTTCCCTGTTGGTATACTGTTGGAGCTGCTTTTGAATGATCTTCAGCAAAATTTTACTTGCGTATGATATTAATGGTATTTTTCAATAATTTTGCATTCAGTTGGATCACCTTTCTTCGGAATAGGCATAAATATGGATCTCTTCCAGTCGTTTGGCCAGGTAGGTGTCTTCCAAATTCCTTGCTTTAACCAGTGAGCACTTCCAGCGCTGCATCCAGTTGTTGAAACATATTAACTGGTATTCCGTCTATTCCTGGAGCCTTGTTTTTTGCCAATGCCTTCAGTGCAGCTTGAACTTCTTCCTTCAGTACCGTCGGTTCCTAATCATATGCTGCCTCCTGAAGTGGTTGAATGTCGACCAATTCTGTTTTGGTACAGTGACTCTGTATTCCTTCCATCTTCTTTTGATGCTTGCTACATCGTTTAATATTTTACCCATAGAATCCTTCAGTATTGCAACTCGAGGCTTGAATTTTTTCTTCAATTCTTTCAGCTTCAGAAATGCTGAGTGTGTTTTTCCCTTTTGGTTTTCTATCTCCAGGTCTTTGCATGTGTCATTATACTTTATTTTGTCTTCTCAAGTGGCCCTTTGAAATCTTTTGTTCAGCAATTTTACCTTCTTGCCTTATTGCACTGGCTAGACCTTTCAGCACTATGTTGAATAGAGTGGTAAGAGCAGATACCCTTGCGTTTTCCCAGATCTTGTGGGGACAACATTCAGTCTTTCACTAATAAGTCTAACTTTAGGTATTGTGTGTATATTCTTTATCAAGTTGAGAAAGTTCTCTATTTCTAGTTTTCTGAAAGTTTTTATTAATCATGAATAGATGTTGAATTTTTCCAAATGCTTTTTCTGCATTGGTTGATATGATCATGCAATTTTTAAGTTGCCAGTTACCAGTTGCCGTTGAATTGATTCCAACTCATGGGTACTACAGTGTTTCAGAGTAGAACTGTGCTCCACTGGATTTTCAATGGCTGTGAACTTTTGGAAATAGATCCCTGGCATTTTTTTCTGAGGTTTCTGTAGGTGGATTCAGACTGTTAACTTTTTGGTTAGTAGCTGAACGCTTAACTGCACTACCTAAGGACTCCTGATATGGTGGATTACAGTGATTGATTTTAAATATTGAACCTGCCTTACATCGCTGGAATAAACTCTACCTGATCATGGTGTGGTGGCAGAGGTGGTTCAGTGATAGAATTGTGGCCCTCTGTGCAGAGTTCGATTCCTGGCTAATGTACCTCAAGCATAGCCACCAACCATCTATTAGTGGGGGCTTGCATGTTGCTATGATGTTGAACAGATTTCAGGGGAGTTTACAGATTAAGATGGATTAAGAGAAAATACCTGGCAATCTACTTCCTAATATCAGCCAAAGAAAACCTTATGGATCACAGCTGATCA